AAACAGATTAATAAAAAATACGTTTTAATTATTATTGTTGCTTAATTGAATTCTTAGGTACGACTTAGGCTATAGGTGGTACGACTTAGGAAACCGGTTACTTTAGTCGTACCGATGTAAGTTTTTATAGATTTAGTTTATTTTACGTGAAAGCATATAGATTTTCTAATTTCGTTATAATAAATAACAACAATATTAACACAAGTTTTCAATAACACATTTAATTTCTATTTATTTGATAAATCCTAAGTTTTATACGGTTTTTTCCTTAAGGGGTACGACTTCAGCAACCTTACCCTAATACCTCCGCCCGTGAAGATGCAGGCAATACGTTAAATAATTTACTTAGCTACCTGTTCCGCCATATTTCCATCAGTAATCTGACGGTTTACCTACTGGAAGAACCTTGGATCTACTTCCAGCTGAAGCATTCGAATTTTCTTCCCACTAGGCAATCCAAAAAGGGAAAGTCTCTTATCCCAAGAGTACGGGACTCTTTCCTCGAGGATAAAAGCAGAAGTGTCGGCCATTTCTTCTAACGTCCTTGCTAGTTCAGTATTTAATATTATCATCCTTTAATTTATTATTAGACGACATATTATCGCCGCGATCTTCAAATATCTAACAGAAATTTTTATAGGCAAGTTAAATAATTCGGAAGTCTGAACTACAATAAAGATATTCTTTCAATTCTAGCAGATAACATGGTTCTGACACCGGTATTTACAAACTAGTTCAACAAAACATCGCGACTACGACAATCCAAATGTTGCAACAGAGCACTGACATTACAATATAGATATTTACCTTTAGTGACAAACATACAAATCTCGTACGTTATATTCTAACGCTGAATGTGAGAGAATGCAGCTTTCTACTCGTCTTGTAATCTCGCATTTAGTTCCTGCGGATACAGGACTGTTTGGCTGATTGTCAGCACGTATTCATCAAACTGACAGTGCAGAGTCGACCGGCGCCAGGGAACAGAAAACACGCTTGCTTGGTGGTAACG